AGCCCAATTGTAAGGTTTACGTTAGGCAACAATCCCTACTCTGTATCAGCTTCATACTTGCATTGCATGTAACAATAGAGGGCAAGAAGTAGATGATAAAAACTATGTTTGTAGTTACCACGTAAGTTTCTATCATTTAAGGGTAAATTTTGGTAACTAAATTTTAATCTCTCCTATTTCACTTATTATACTTTTGTCGAAACGATTTTTTTCTTCAAGGTGAAAAAAGGTGAGATTTTGAAAAACTACATTAATTTTTAATTTACCTTTTTCAATTGATTTTTAATTAAAAAACAAATGCGATTTAAAAACTTCTCGTTTCGAAAAATTTGAAATTTTATTTTCGTTAAAAACATATTGATCAAAGAGTCGCCACCAATCTTTGATTAGGGTGTGATTGGGCACCCAAAGATGTTTGTTATTTTAAATAAAAATTAATTTTAATTAAAACAACAAATTAAGGTCCGTGTTATCAAAAAATGAGTTCGGGAGTCGGTTACGTGTGGGGAAGGATTAGCACCCCCACGACGCCCTAAATTGGTACCTAGTCGATTAATTAACGTCCTTGCATTGAACTTTACAAATTCGAACTTAATTTGATTTTTGATCCCATAAAACAATGACGTAAATTTAAAAACATTCAAAATCACTCAAACAAATTAAATTAAAATTACCAAGTCGTTTTAGAAAGATAAAGAATGTTCGATTATTTACAAATATCGAGACCAGATCTTAAAGATATAACAACCTTTTTCTCGATATATTTAAATAAACGAACATTTCTTTTTCTATCGTTCCCAAATTTTTGGTGACAAATCAATTTTTTTGTTTCACTTTCGGGATACACTTTTATTTTAAAATCATTAAAAGCGGATCTCAAATCAGTTATGACTGCCCACTTAAAACAATTTTAAATTAAAAGGGTATTACCCTTAATCCAATTATGTAATATGTAGAGTTATGCAAATGATGCTATCATGCAATTTATGAAAAAAAGTATGCCATACCAAAAATTAATTATACAAAATTAAAAAATAACATACAACGTGACATGCAAAAAAATTATATACATATTTTAATTAAAGATCATAAACCATGCATACTAACATATGATGTACAAATATGACTCAAATATAAAAACAAAAACAAAACATGCTAAACTAAAAATTTAAAAAGTATATATACATAAATGTAATGACTAAATTTAAACGTACATAAAGTTAAACATACTAATAAAAAAATAAAAACAATGACTTAAATAAAAACAAGAATAAATATAAGGGACTTAAACCTAAATAATTCATGAAAATTACAACTAAAATTGAAATATGAAAATAACTAAATCGGGTCAAATTAAAAAAAAAGAAATCAAAATCAAGCCCTACATGTGACTAAATTATAAACATGAGCTAAACCTAGGAGGATCAAAAGCTAATTTACCCCTAAAGTTATAGTGACTAAATTCTAATTTACCTGAAAAATTTAATATATAACTTAACAAAAAAAAACTTAAGTAACTTTACTAAACCAAACATTTCCGCCGCTCCTATTTGTTTTTTAATTCAATTTATGCGTTGCCTTGAGGTTTCGAACATAGGAGTATTGGTGCTCTCTGCTCTGGGCAAACTTTGACCACTGCATTAACTTTCCCTCTCCATTCTCCCCACCTTCTCGCTTGTCAAACCCACACAACCGAAACCCATAACCAGAAAATAGCCAAGACCCACACTCCGGTTGCCTTCTTTGGTGATTTGGTGAGACCAAGACCCGAGCCTAATAACCCCAAAGTGTTCAAATAACTCCCCAGAATCCCGATCCGGTATTGACATCACCAAACACTCATAAATGGCCCCTAGATCTCCTTGACCTCTCGACTATTCACTCTCTCCAATGACCTTTGTCCTCTCTTGTGCTATGCTCAACCGTTCAACAATGGTGTGGTGCTCAAACATTACGGTAAGTTTAAACCTTATTTATTTCTATTTTATTTTTTGAAACCCCGATAGATGATAACCCATGACCCAAAAAAAATGACATGCAAGGACTCAAATCACTCATGGTAATCCTACCCAACTTCGGCGATCTATCACCTCGGCAGTGGAACCCTAGAGTCTACGATCCATTCAATTTCAATAACAAAGCTATACCGAAGGTATCTACTTCTATTTTCAGATTTTTGGATTTGCACTTAAAAAAAATAATTAAAACAATTTAAGAACAGATAAGAAGTTAATGTAAATAACAACGAAGAAAAACCTTGTATGAATTGAATTTCTCTTTGTATTGCTCTGGTTCACCGAAAGGAAGGAATTCCTCTTTGATCTTCAAATGGAAAAAAACAATACAATATTTTTTTTCTGTTTGTTACTATTTTCTGTAAAGAGAAACGATAAGGAAGGTTTTTTTCGATTCTACTCCCGGTTCCTTGCTGATATCCCTCTTCTCTTTTTTCTGCGTGTCTATGATCTCCTTCTTTCGGTTAATTTTTGTTGTTGTTGTGTGATGCTTGATAGTTTTCCTCTGTTTATTACTTTATTTTTGCTAATCTCCCTCTGTCCGTGTAATTTTTCTTTTTAAAAAAACTGATATCTCTCGTTTCTTTTTTATGATCAGTGGTTCTCTTTTTAGTTTTTAGTAGTTAACCTCCCCACTATCATATCATATCAACTGCTAAAATAATTTCTTTTTCCTTATGCATGCAACTGCTGTCCATTGGGCTTGAGATGGGCCCTCCAGTTGGCTTGGGTTCTCATTGCTTCAGGTCGGTTTCGACTGGGCCCCGAACAAAACAGAGCATCTACAACTTTAAATCTTTTTAATTTTTTCACTGAACTTAATATATTAGATTTTTTTTATCACTTAGTTGTTTTCTTACTAACGGCGTTATAAATGAGTTGTTATATAGATGCAAAACGACGTCGTTTTGATAAAAAAAATTATTTTTTTAAACGATGTCGTTTCAACGCCGATTACTATTTAACGGCGGAGTGACAAAAAAATTAATGTATTAAATCTACTGAAGAAATTAAAAACTTTTAAAATTTAGTGAGTAAAATAAAAGAGAGAGTCAAGTTCAGTGATGAAAATTTAAATTTACCCATCATTTAAAGTAGTAAATTACATCATTACCTGAAAGGTTTTCTTTCTTCACCAACATACCAAACTTCAGGTTTTCTTTCTTCAACAACATACCAAACTGGGTTGATTTGCTCCCATGGTGTTGTGAAAAAAATTATTGGCTGAAACAGGGTCTCATTGAAATTATTTTCTGGTCTAATGTGAATTCTACAGTACTCGTCGAAAGTTGCAAGAAACACAGTGCATCTTCGGAAACACAGTGTGTCATCGGAAAGTCACCGAGAACACTGCGTCTTCAGCTTTGTTCAAGATTCGCATAAAAACGGGGAAGACACATTGTGTTCTTGGAAGACGCATTGTGTTCCCAATGACTCTCCGGTTACTGTAGCATCACATCATCTCGAGAAATAATTCCAACGATACCCTAATTCAATCAATATTTTTTTCAAGAACCCTACAACAACAAATCAGCCTACCAAATTGCAGTTCATCTTTCAAACCCTTGAAATCTGAAAAGTTTGAAATACCGGTTAATATAAGGTTAAAAATTTGCAATCGAATGTAATAAAATTTTTTATCAAGTGTGTAACTTTTAAAAGTAAACCGAGTAATATTTTATGTTGAAATTGGAAATCTTACGTTCTCTGTTGCATAATTATTCTGGTTGTAGCTTAAAATAATATAAAAAACCATATAATATTTTTATTTGTAATTAAAAATTACTATTAATTATATAATTTTTAGAATAAATAAAATAAAATTTTAAGATAAAATTTACCGTAAAATTACCGATATATTTTTATTTTTATCCGATAAAGTTGACAACTTGAAGTTCAAATTTATGGTAAAACAAAAAAAATCTAATTATATTTTATAACATTTATCACCTTCATGTCTATTATAACGAATATCATACATTCTTAAATATTTTTTCACGAACCGCATCTGTCTAATTTCCCCCCCCCCTCCCACAATAATTTCTTAATTTTGCCGTTTTAAAGTTCATTAATATTTTAATAAGAGGGGAAAACTGAAAGAGATTTTTATCCATGATATGTTTGGCTTATGGAAAGGAGATCATTCATTTAAAATTTAAATTTTAAAATTAATATTTTAATAGAGAAATTTTATGTATAAAAATAAATATTTTGATAGATATCTTAATAAATTAATTTTAAGAGTTAGTTTGATGTTATATAAAAAATATTAAATTTGTTTCCCAAAATTGGATGAAAACTAGATGATTATGATAATTTAATATTTAGTTTTTAAATATTAAAGTCAAAAAGAAGTTTTTAAATATTAGAATAAAGTACCATCGACTATAGGATACTGCTTTGTTGAGTCCCTCGGCTATTAAAAATTATAAAATAGTCTTTGATTATAGGAAGTTGCTTTGTTGAGTCCCTCAACTATTAAAAGTTACAAAATAGTCATTTGACTATTCATTATGTTTTAAATTTTCAGTTAAAAAATTAACAGTCGTCTAAGCTGAACGTTAACATGCTGATTGAGATATAATAGTTGTTTGAGATTATGAGATTATATTATTATATCTCAATAAATAAGTTAACGTCCAACTCAGGTTGTCGTTAATTTTTAAACGGAAAATGACGAGTTTAAAACATAATGAATAGTCGGGTGATCATTTTGTAATTTTTAATAGCCGATTGACTCAACAAAATAACTCCCTATGATTGGGAGACTATTTTATGATTTTTAATAATTGGGATTCAATAAAATAATATTTTATAGTTGAGGGACTATTTATATAATTTACCCTAAATATTAATACATAAAATATTATGATATTTAGTATTTAATAAAGCTTCCCGCCATGCAAGTAGCCATCTGGCCATGGCCAATGTGTGGTTTAAAAACACTACAAATATATTTTCTATATCATCTGAATATATATCTTCAATCTTTTGCTTCTTCTTCTTCTTCAATTTTTGATCTTCAATCTCCTTCAGTACTTCATTTCAAACTCCCTTCCCATGTCTTCTTTAATTCCTCTATCGTGCAACCCTCCTTTTCTTCACTTTTCTTCCCATGTAAATTTCGTTCCTTCCAAACCCTCATCTCTCTCTCTCCCTCCTTCGAATCTCTTCCTCTGCTTCTCCTCTTCTTCTTCTTCCAACAATTCCTCAAACTTCGACCGCGAAGAAGCCAGGTGGCTTCGCGAGGAACAACGATGGCTCCGAGAAGAGCAACGCTGGTTAAGAGAGGAGCAGCGGTGGCTAAACGAGAAAGAGTCGCTGCTCCGACAGATCTCCCAACTCAAGCTTCAAATCCAAGCCTTGGAGAACCAGAATTCGGTTCACGGAGCTTCGGCTTCGGAGACGATATCCCGTATCGGAGCTTTACTGCAGGTGTTGAAAGAGAAGGGTCAGATTGCGGAAAGCGGAGAGAGCGCGAGGGAGATGGTTTTGGAAGAAGTGAAAGAGAAAGAGGTGATTGTGGAAGAAGGAGTTGAGATTTTGGAAAACAAGGAAAATGTGGTTCAAAAGAAGATAGAAACGTTGAGAGTAGGCAGCGAAGGGGATCAAGTTCGAGAAATGCAGGTCTGTCCCAAGCCTTTTTTTCTTTTCATTTTGTGAATATATGAACAATTTTTTTAGAATATAATTAAAATATAATTTTATTATATTTCATTTAACATGTTAACGTTTGAATCATGTTAACGTTCAATTCAAACGTTGTTATTTTTTTAACGAAAAAATACGAGTTTAAAACGTATGAATAATTAAGCGATCGTTTTGTAATTTTTAATAATTTATGAACTCAACAAAATAATATCTTATAATATTTGTATACTTTACTCAAATTTTAAAGGAGATAATTTATAAAATTTTAGAATATCAACATAAATAAATATATATATATAAAAGCACTTTATCGACCTGACCGTTCTTGGTCCATCCCTGTATACAAGCCTAAGTAGATATGGATATGGTGTCATCCTAATTTGGAATGGTTGCTATGGTGATTTATAATGACAGGAGGCGTTAGAAAAACTGGGTTTTTACTCTGGTGAGGAAGACATGGAATTCTCCAGCTTCTCCAGTGGGACTGAGCGTGCTGTGAAAACTTGGCAAGTAAGCCATAATTCCATTATCATGTTATGTGTTGTCAACGGACACAAAGTTCTCCATTGTTATGGGAGAATCAATGCAGGGGGGTGAAATAATCTTTTGTTACACAGTTTGCCAAAGCTCCTTATCCTGTTCTCTTATTTCACCTACGATATTCATGATCAAATCATTGCTCTTGACAGGCAACAATAGCTGCCCGTGAAGATGGAATAATGACTGCAGAACTTCTTCAAAAGTTATTCGGAGAACAGAAAATCAGGAGTTCTAGCTCAACCAACTTTGCAACTATTCTGAACAAGGTATGTTCGAGATCACGCGTAAGGCAAAAGTTTTTCTTCTGCATACCAGTAGGATTAAGATATGAATGCACCTGTTGCTGCCAGCTTCCCTCTTTAAGTTTTTAGCAGCATTCGGGGTATAAAGCGCCGCTAATTCGGATATAATTGCGACGTTTTTGATATCAGTTGGTTTCATGGACTTATCTGTAGGAGGGGACCAATGGAACTGCAATTGCTTCTTTGACTGAAATCTCGGAGATAGAACAGAAAGTTGTGAAAGAGGAAGGTTCCACTAAAGCTGAGGTATCTCAACATCGAGTTTTTCTTCTCGGAGAAAATCGGTGGGAAGATCCTTCTAGACTTACTAACAAGAATAAACAAGCCTCAGAAACTAAGAACAAAGATGGCAAAACAATGTGCCATGCTTGTCGTGGAGAAGGTCGAATAATGTGCACAGGTAACAATTTCTTCCTTGGGTCGAATTGAACCTTGAAGGAGCTGATCTGTAAATAGAATTAGACGCATTTCTTTGTTTTTTTTAGAATGAAGATAACTGCAATTATAACATTGCTCGACATGACCATTGCATATTATAACATTAGACGCCTTACGTTCATCAGTTGTTCACCCGAAACCAACCACTCTTACTCACATTCACTTTTCTCTAGTGCAGAATGCGATGGAACAGGTGAACCAAACATTGAAGAACAGGTAACCAGGGGTCTTGCTTGTTTTTTATACGATTTTGTTTAAGAGATCTACTTGTAGGGCTCAAATATCCTCTTCCTCGAATCCTGAAACAAAAGATTTTCTTCTAGCTTAGCTACATTGATGATATGACATGTTAGATTTTTGCTGATGCAGTTTTTGGATTGGGTGGAGGAGGGAGCAAACTGTCCATACTGTGACGGCCTTGGGTATGCTACTTGTGATGTATGCGAAGGAAAAGCAGTTGTTTAGGTAATGTCATGATCATTAAACACAACAGAATATTACATGGAAGAAACTCTAATTACACACAAATAAAGCACACAATTCATCATGTTTCAGAAGCTCCTACATTATCCATGAGATTCTTACTTCTTTTGACAAATCCAATATGATTGTTAGTACATGTTTTAGAGCATGGGGTACTGCAATGGGACGAGCATCACACCATTGCACCCCACTAAATTTGGCCTACAGATGTATAAAGTAACTTTATTTCCCCTTGAAAGAAAATTCTGTTTTTGGTACTTGCAAATTATTCCCAACCAATCAAATTGATTAAAACATAGTTACTTACCCATTTTCACATTAAGTATTTTTAAGCATAATTTGGCATATAGATGTACATGGGGATGGACCGAGGGAACTAGCGGTATAGTAACCCTACAAATTTTAGATTCACATATAATTTAAGTTTTTTTTTTGTATTTTTTATTGATAATATGTTTTTATCTCTAAAATTTTATAAGTTCAAATGCTAATATAAAATCATGCATCCATCTCCTGGACGTAGTAACAGAATCAAATATTCAAATGTGTCTTATGTTTCTAAGATGTATTTACTTTGCTTCTTAAAGTCCTGCTATTATGCAAATACGATATTCTAAAAATATTTAGCATTGCTTACAGAAATAAGAAATCCAGACAAGTTCAAGAACAAATACACAGCCGGTGCCACAATTTGAACTACAATGGAAGATCCTTCTTTATTATTGTGAATAAAGAAGATAAACCAAAGAACGTACTATACCCTTTAATGTGAATGTTGCTTTCCACTGCATATTATCAGCACTAAAATCTATTACAGATTTGTCTTCGGTTTTCCACCAGCAGTAATACGCCGTGAAACAGAACGCATTGTTACAAACTCCTCGGCAGCGGAAGGATGTATGCCGACCTGTAGAAAAGAGTTCAAAAGACTTACTCCATAAGATGAGTAGAAGCAATTCAGAGTGAAATGCCAAAATCAGCTCTAAGTTAAATAGATACGACAAACATGGTATCGAAATGCGTAAATGGAACTAGAAGAATCTAGTGGCAAGTTCAACTTACAGTGCTGTCGAATTGTGCCTTAGTGGCTCCACACTTAAGAGCAACAGCAATGCCCTAAAATGGAAAAGCAATATTAGAACATCATTGTTAGAATTATCAACATTCAGTGCAGTTTACCTTATTTCTACATGCATCTTATCGAAAGACAAAACGATTAGTAAGGGCCTACAACATACATCATAGTTCATCTAATTCATAAATGCTACTTATGATAAGCAGAAATATGGAAAAGGGAATTGGTATCATCCAATCATTGCCATTTTAATAATATTTTGACTCATCACAGAATTGACCATCAACTGTTAGCCTACGACGGTGCATCTTAACTCTAATAAGGGATGCAAGATCTCTTAGAAGCCAGAAATGGAGTACAAATCCGTTTTGACATCAGGATTTTCAATATACTTTAGTGATTGAATCATCACTCAAAAGAGGCAACATCATTCATGGATAAGAAAATTTTCACCTAGAAGGAAAATGCAGCAGGCCAATCCCAGAAAATTTCTTAGGGCATTGCCAGAATTTACACACTGCATTTGTAAAACCAGACCACATTACCAACTATATTCATATTGGTTACAGGAGTATTTAACTGATACGTGGAGGTAAGTATACACATCAAAACAACTAAAATATAATAAAGTACCTGCATAATTTCAGGTGCATCAGGTCCACACATAGATGCCCCATGTACTTTATCAGTTTCCGCATCAACAACTAACTTCATTACTGTCTTTTCTTGGCGTCTAGAAGTAGAAAACAAGAAAGTTATTGTTTGCAAATAAAGCAAACACCAGTCAGATATACAAGAATTCCACATGTGGTTGCTGATCAAATGAGCAAGGAAATGGAAATACTCGTCGAGAATAATGGAACGTGTTGGATGCTTAGTTGACATTATCTTAGATAAACTAGAGGCTTTTGAAAATTATATTAGCTAACTAGGAAGCCACTTAATGAAGAAGCCAAAACAAAATAACCCCAAGCACAATCCAAATCAATATTATATATATAGATCTTAGAAAAGATCAACTCTTGCTGCCAACTTCTTCATGCCTTAAATGCTAGCAGGCTACATTGATATCGTAAAATCACAACTATTACACTTTATATAGAATGGAAAATAGCATCCTCACAACCACATTGGAAAGTATCTTTAATTTATCCTAAACCATGTTGGAGACCTTAAATTTTTGCATTTAGATGCTTTGATCCTTGAAACTATTATTATCAATATTTTAACAAAAGAAACTTTTGAAAAAACATGATGTCTCTGGGACCAACATCAAATCCGGAGTCTGCATAACCTAGGCCCAAGAGTAAAAAATGGAAATGAAGATATTGCATAACTAAAGTGGTGGATGAGCTCTTTCAGAAAGAAGGGACAGGCAGAAAAACGACTACAAAATTTTATTTCAATTTTCTTTGCAATAGCATCTCAATTCGTTATCATACCCGGATATAGTATTCTTCATTGGATTGAAGGATGATGTGAAAACCAGAACATCACCATTTGCTTGCTCGATTGCCTGCTCTTCACTGAGACCAACAACCGAAAGTGGTGGTATGCTGCAAAAATGTGAATCGGCATGGCAATTAATTTACTAAAAGGGAAAAGGAACATATAACAATGAATTAGAATGTGTGCATATATACATCCAAGGAAAAATATGTGCATATATACCCAAAAAAAAAGAGGCACTTAACAACAACAATGTACAATCCTCTCTTAAGTACAGACCAAAAACCTACAAACTACAAGAATTCTAAATCCTGCAGTCCTCAGAAAAAATATAATTAAAATAGTTTATCATGGCTGCTTCATTGTCTTTAATTTAAATCATTACAAGCATACACCATGCCACCACAAGAAGCATGTCGTAAAAGGGAAATGACATTACCAAAACACAGCACAAGGTATATTGCTGTAGTCTGGTTTGCTAGATTCCCCACCAAAAAGGGTTTTCTGCAAGCATTGTTTAAACAAAAATTTAAAACAAGGGAAAGACAAAAACTTGAAGCTTAACATGTAACTATATCTGTCAAATGGAACAAAAAGAAAAAGAAAAACCATCTTTGGTACAGGAAAATGAGAGGGCATCAGATTGAACACATACAGCAAAACAAGTTCCCTCCATTAAGGCCACTGGAGTCAGGTTCATCTGATTTGTAACATCACCAACAGCCCATATACTGGGATTATTAGTGCGTGAGTACTCGTCTACCTGCAAAATGAAGATGGTAGAACTCAGTTCTGTAACAAAAATTGAAGTAGGTTATGCAATAATGGTATTCACTCTTCAGATAACGTGAGAAAAAAGTACATAGCTAAAATGATTAAAGTAAATTAAATATCCGAAAAAACTCTTTAAAGGAAAGCCACCTTCAAGAAGATCAAATATATGTTATATGGCCAAAACAAGTGCACAAACAAAAGGAAATGCACCACATACAATGCCACTCAAAGAAGGCCATCTTAGCTCTACATATAAACCCAAGAATTAGACATGGTTCCTTCCACAAGCAGATCTACTTAAACATGTACAGAGAATAATATTGCAAATCAGTCAATCATTTATCCAAAAGGAACAAGAAATTAGAAAATTAACAAAACATCAAAACACATGCTTTTACCTTTTAGTAAGATCAATCATAATGAAATCATAGCCATGCCAGTTGACATTTCCATGGAAGAGTGCAGATGCCAACTTTTATTATAGAAAAAATTACTGATGTTTGATGAGAAGAAACAAGAATAAAAAAGCATAGAAAAAATAACCTTCACAGCTCCTGTTTTATCAAGTTCAACACCTACAGCTTCCAAATTCAACCTTTTTGAATTGGGTAACCTGCCTGTAAAAAATAATTAAAAACAACACAAAATCAAGCTAATGGCAAAAATTAAAATAACTCTAAAGAATGGGGTATGTTCTCAATGATATAACAGGCCATAAGACCAAGCTGTAAAAATAAATCAAAATTTGAAACATCAAATGCAGATTTAGATATCAAAGAACATTCAATAATGTTAGCCAGGACCTTTAAAAGTGTTAGGAAGTAATAAGTTGATTTGTCGGAATAACTTTAAAGATTAGATTTGATTTTCTGTATTTCTTTTCCATTTTCTAGCTACTATAACATGTATAAACACATGCGTGGAATATAATTGGAGAATTTTTTTTTTCATTTGTGTTTTCTACAAGGTATCAGAGCCATTTGGCTCAGTTTTAGAGTTTGGGTTTTGCAAATTTTATCGTGAAATGTCGAGATTTTCATAGGTCACTTTGAAGAGTGTTTTTTGGACCTCACAGACGGCATAGGGAGGAGTGTCAGTGTTGATCCAGCCATTTGTGGATTCAAGTGACCAGAGTGCAAGTGTGTAAGCCTCATGTGCTGATCAAAGATTTTTACTCTTCTTCACGTGTTGACGTATGGAAGTGCATGGTGCTGCTTCTGTGCACTGGTTTTCTTCTCCGGTTTCAATTTGCGATTCCAACCGACCCCTGGTGGTTAGGTGATCGATTGGAGTTGTTGCCGACGGTTCCTTGGTGTTTGTCTACATGGTTTGTAGCTGTTATAGTGATGTTTGGCTGCAGAGATTTTAGTTGACTGGGTCGTTTGACTACAGAATTGTAGATGTTTCGGTCCTGTTTGGCTACAGGATTGTAGCTGTATAGCAATTAGTCTTGCCTGTATTCTCGTGTACCATATTTGCCACTTCTGGGTTTTGATTGATTATATTTGTAACAAGCTGGGCACGATTAACATCCATGCTGCAGCTTGAGGGGGAGTGCTATGATACAGGCTGTCCATAGAAATCTTGGGAAGTAATAAGTTGATTTGTAAGAGTATGCCGTACCTTTAGAAATTAGATCTGGTTTTCTTTATTTTCTTTTCATTTTCTAGTTTCAATAACATGTATAAATACCTTACTCTGAGTGGAATATAAATTGAAGAAGTATTATTCCATTCGTGTTTTCCAACATAAAGCATGACTAAGTACTTGTATAAGCGTGAACCAGCAAGTCAGTCAAAATCTCTCTAACCATTCTAAAAGAAATAGATCAGTAGAGTAAGGTTCAAGGTATCAATGATTACTTAAATCCTACAAAGTGTAATAACTAAAACAAACATCGAAGATCTAAAATTATAGCATCTAACAAAATTAAAAAAAAAATGCTACTATAAGTTTCATCATCCAGTCCAACTATTCTAAAAGAAACAGAGCAGTAGAGTAAGGTTCAAGGTATTAATGTTTACTTTTCAAATCCTACAGACAGAGAAAATTAAAACAAACATGCAAATATCCATTTCATTGCATCCAACAGAAAAGGGAAAAAACACTCTATTGCTTGTAAGTTCCATCCTCAAGATTATGGAATTGTTAAATGACCGCAGAACATCTCATGGAGAATATAAGCACATAGGAGAGAACTAAATGGCAATTTTTTGATAGATTGCATAAATAAAGCAAGTAGGCAGACATTAGTTTCTAGATGATGGTAAGAAGTAAGAAGCGCCCAAAAGGCACCTAAGCATGCCAAAACACAAACCGGTGCAATGCAATGTCTATTGCTATTCATCCACTACATAGAAAAAGCATGTCTTTTACTTTTAGACATCAAAAGTGAATTCCACAAAATATGGAGAAAGAAACAGAACAGAATAAACTAAGTT